AAATTTTGTATATAAATTATAAATAGATCTAATTGAGTAAATAAATTTATAAATATTAAAAAAGAAAACTACTTTGTTGAAATTTAATAAAATTGTGTTATTATAATCTTTTTTAAATTAATATTGAAACTAAAAAAAATACCAACTAATTATTTAAAATTATAATGAAAATAAAAATATATATTTATGATAATATAAATAAATAATTTTAAATTATTATACTATAATAAATTAATTACTTATCTAATTAAAAATCATTAAATATTTATGAGTTAAATATATTTTTTATTTAATAATTTAATATAATTATAATTAAGTTGATTTATGAAGATTAGTCATATTAGATAATTTAAAAAAATTATGTTTTTCTTAATATATGTATATATATATATATATATAATATTAAGTTTTAATATCTTAAACTTACTATATAATATTTTTAAAATATAATATATTAAATTATAATATTTGTAAATATTTTTTTAAAAATAATAAAAGACTCATTTATCTAATTTTAATTTAGTATTTTTAATTAAAAGAATAAGATGATTGAAAGAAGAATAAAAGAGAGAAAAACAAACAAACAAGGAAACAAATAAAAAATAATAATGATAGATAAATAAAAAGAGAAAAAAATATAAAAATAAATGAGAAAAAGAGAAAAAAATAAATATATTATATTAACAAAATTATTTCTTATCATTACATTTTTATATGATGAATAAACTAGTATAATTAATAAATAAACTTATAATATTTTATTTAAGTTATTTTTCATTTTAAATATATTATTTAAGAATCATATAAATAATAAACAGGTTTATACTAAGTTTGGTTATATTTTAATATTCTTTCCAATACAGATATTGTGAAGTAGTATGTTATTTCTTCTCTCTATAATTAATATAATTAAAACAAAGGGGTATAATTACTAAAAGAATAATTAATATTTCTTCTCTCTATAATTAACATAATTAAAATAAAGGGGTATAATTACTAAAAGAGTAATTAATGTAATTAAAAACAAATTATTCTACCCAAAACATCATATATTTTGAAACAGATGGAATAATTATGTAATATTTTAAAAAAATATAATTATAATGAATAATTAAAAATTATATTAAAATAACAAGTAAAATTTATAAAAATAAATAAATAAATTTTTAAATTTTATTTTTTTCTCTCAATTCTTCTCTCTTTTATTAATCTAAACAAACAATTCCACTTTTCATTATATTTTCTTTTTCTACTTCACTAATCCAAAAACTTAGAGATATTATAGAGTAAGAAAGTAAGATTATTTCTAATAATTTATTTTTTCATCTAATGTTTTGTCCCGCTAAACAAATATATTCTCAAATATGTAGAGTGTAATTTAATTATATAGTTTTCTTAATAATAAAATAAAAATAAAAAAATTATAAATATAATCATGTTATTTAGTTTTATTGCAATTCGTTGATATGACAGACAAAAACAATAATATATTTAAAATTTTATTTAAGTAAAATATTTTTTCAGTTTTTATAAAATGTACTATTTTTTATATAAAAATATAGTTTAGTTCCTGTAAAATTTAAAATATCTTTTTTTCTTTAGTTATTTAATGTTGTTAATACAATTGTGTTTTATTAAAAAAATTCCTCAACCTTACAACGTGACACTAAAAAAAATTGTGAAACTTTTTTTTTCTCATCCTCTTCTACTCTCTTAAAATTAAAAAGTTTAAAAAATAATTATATCTAAATTTACATTTATCAAAATAATAAAAATGTATATAATTTATTTTAATAAAATAAACCATGTTACAAGAAAAAAAAATATAAATAGTTATGTCACGTCACTGTCTCTTTTTTAAATATCACCATATTTTTAAGATAGTTAGAAAAAAAATTATAAATACTACAAAAATAAAATGTTATAACGATTGTTTATATATATATATATATATATATATATATATATATATATATATATATATATATATATATATATATATATATATATATATATATATATGAAAGCAATTGAGGGAAATATTGATGCAAATATCTCTACATTTCCAAGAGATGATTTTGATGATGATTCAAGTCAACTACATTCAAGTTAACACCATTCAAAATGAATTGAATTAAGGACATCAAGGTGAATTAAGGATAAGTTGAATTAAAGAGGTTGGTAATATTTCTCTACATGCCCAAGATATGATTTTGACAAAGATGATGATTAAGCATGCCCAAAATGACTAATGAAGACTAGATAGAATCTTAGAATACTGGATATGGAGGTACAAGTTGATGAAGTGGTATTATGCATAAGTCCCCAAAACACAAGTGTGATAAAATTGCGTAACATGATATTTTTCACTGTCATAATAAATTATGATGCATCATAAATGGAAAAATGATTTTCTCTCTCTCATAATTAATTATACTGGTAACATAATCAATTATGACAATTCAAATTTGAAAAATAAAATAAATGTTTTTAGATACATCCTGATTTTCTCCATGATATTATTAATGACCAACGATTATTTTCTGATGTTATTTTTCTATTTAATTAACTTTTGATGAAAAATAAAATACACACAATTACTGAATTCGAAAATTCAATTTATATTCAATCAGTTTTGAGAAAAGAATTTTGAACAAGATAACAGAGATATTTTATACCTTCTGAGAAAACCCTATTCTCTACTGTCTTCTGTGCTTTCATTGTTAATCACACTTATTCTTAGGGGTTGACATTCTACATGTTTCTATAATTTGTTGTCTTCATGTGTGATTGTTCTTATTTTTATTACCTTCATCATTTGTATATGACTGTTCTTATTTTACTCTTTCATCCTATGTGGGTTTAAGAGGTTAAGTTAATCAATTGGGTTATTCATCCTTTGATTTATTCAGAGGAGGTGTTTATCCCTAGTGTGATTCTAGGGAGGTGTTCATCATTTGTGTATTGGTGGCAAAGGAGATGTTTTTCATCCCTAGTGTGATTCTAGGAAGGTGTTCTTTTCTTGGTGGAATTCTAAGAAGGTGTTTTCATCTTTTAATTTGTTCAAAAGAGATGTTCATCCTTAGTGTGATTCTATGGAGGTGTTCATCCTTAGTGAAATTCTAAGGAGGTGTGTTCATCCTTTAATTTGTTCAGAGGAGGTGTTCATCCCCTAATGGGATTTTATGGAGATGTCCATTCTTAGTGGGTTTCTAAGGAGGTGATTGTCTTTTGAATTAGTTTATTTTTTGTTGAGTTAATTGTAATTTGTAAACTGAATTTAAAAAATAGTGAATTGGGGTCACTCTTGTGTTAAGTGTTTACTGGGAACTGGATATAGGATTGACTATACCTGAATCAGTATAAACCAATGCATACTATTTTCTTTCATTTATCTCTTTTTCACTGCATTACTCTCCTTACACCCCTTATTTTTATCTCTATTGTCTCTATCTTATTGATATTTTATCTCTCTCATTATATTGTTTTCGTTTTATCTGTGTTCAATTTGATAATTAAAATTGAATTAATAAATATTGGACATCTTAAAATAAATTTTTAATTTGACATCTATTTTAATTTGTGCATTTATTCACCCTTGTAGATGTCATTTGTCTAACAATATATATACATATTTTATCATACTTAAAAATATTATTAAAAAAATAAAACTTTTTTAAAAGATAATTAAACTAGAAAAACTACTACATACTGTGTTAATAAATAAAACACTTTATATACGGAAACAAAATCTACGCATAAAAATATAATTTAAAAATACTAATGAAAAAGTTAAAGTTTTTTTATAAAGAGTATATTCTACAATAAATTTTAAATTATTTTGAAAATGTTTATTATGTGATGATGATTTTAAGTTTAATTGTATTTATAATTTCAAAGTCACTCTGGTATAATATCTCTAAAGAAAAAATAAATCTTTTAAGTATTAAATTTGATGTATTAAAATAAGTTTTTAAAAATATTTAATTATAAATTAAAAATATAATTTAGTTTCTAAACAATAAATTTGGAAGACTAGAATAAATTATTAAAAATGTTTAAAAATATTATTTTGTAAAAAAATAAAATATTAATATATTTAGTTATAAATTAATGGAAAAGTCTTTGAAATTTATTTTAAAAATATAAAATATGAAATTCAGTTATGGACCTAGAAGTTTAGGTTAGGAATAAATTTCATATGATAAATAAGAGTATAAAGTTTAATATAAAATATTTAATATGTTTTTAATTATGCTAATAATTTCTTAAACCATTAATATAAATGTATAGTTAAATTAAAAAACTTATTTTTTTAATAAAATAAAATATACATAAATGTTAGAAAAATCTCATTAATTATTCTGTTTAATTCTTTTAATACATGAACAACAAACACTTAATCAATTAACTTTCTATTTGTGTCTCAAAAATCCACTCTACAAGCATTAAAATTGTAGGAAATTATAAGTTACATTTGTTGTATCAAATGTAATCCCTTAATATAGTATACTGCATTACATATGACTCTAAATATTCTGATTTGACTCATTGGTTTTTTTGAATTTTAGCAATGGAGCATGGAGAAAAGCACAAGGAAAAAAAACTAAGATTAACAATTGAAAGTGAAATAAATAAAATATTAAATGAAGGCATTGTGAAACAAAATTGTATATTGGGGGCTTATTAGTGATGGTTAGTTATATATTAATTGATATCTCAAATAATCATGCTTAGAACATTACACGAGGATAAGGATTAGTTGCTGAGTTGGGAAAGCATAGTAGGTTACATGTGTTTGTTTGCTATATTTTAATTTGTCCTTATCCATCCACGTGATCAACTCCATTCTTTGCCGTCAGCATGCAATGCACGCACTTCCATTTCAATCATCAATTCCCATTCCATCTCTGTCCCATTACCACTTCCACTTCCAATTCCATTTTTTCTTTTTTTCCTTTCCCTGGCTCACCATCACAACCAGAAACCCTTTTCGCAACATGCTCAGAAGCCGCATATGGCAGAAGAGAGCTTTGATCTCTTCCAGAACCTTCTTTTCACCCGCTGCTTCTTCTCATTGTTCATCATCTTCTTCTCCCACGCTTCCTTTTCGATTCGCCAAACCTAATGCTCCTTCTTCACGTGTCAATGTGAGTTACGTCCCCTTTCAAACTTCCATACATCTCTTGTCACTAACAAATTACCCATTTATTAGTTTGAATTTCGCACGTGTTTAATTCCTGATTCCTGTTTTGTAGTTCAATTTAGCACGTGTGAACAGGTGTTGGTTCTCCACACAACCCGCCCTGGACCTTCCCGCGAGCAAGGTAGTGGACGTGCCGTTGGCGCAAACCGGTGAAGGAATTGCAGAGTGTGAGCTTCTCAGATGGTATGTCCAAGAGGTCAGTGAATTTGTTACTTGTTTTGTACCCTTCATTGAGATTCGTGTCAAAAGAAAAAAAATCAAAACATGCCCTAAATTGATTTGTCTGAATTATTTGTTGGGTCGTATTGGTAGGGGGATTATGTTGAAGACTTTCAACCGCTCTGTGAAGTTCAAAGTGATAAAGCTACTATTGAAATTACGAGTCGCTACAAAGGAAAAGTTTCTAACATTCTCTACGTTCCTGGTGATATTGTGAAGGTGAGTTATTAAATCTCGGTCTGTTGGATTTAGTTGAACTAAGATTATGTTTATGATTTAGAAATTGTTTGTTAGAGTAAATTGATGAAAGAAGTATTAGTGCTACATTGATGGTTTGGAATTTGGGATAGTTTTTCATGCCCCCAAAAAGTAGGAAAAGTTTCCCTGTAAATTAGTTTATTATTATGCGATGAAAAAGTTTATTATATATTATTATCAAGGAGTTCAGGGACCTGACGAGGAAAAGTTAGTAGAATATACTCCATTCGGGAATAGGTTTTTATTTTAGACATGTTTGAGAGAATAGGAAGGAAGTGAGCCAATGAAGTGGTTGAAAATAAATAAATAAAAGAGAAGTTCCCTATATTTTTTCCAGGAGATTTTCGAGTGAGATGGTGCATGAGAGAAGCAGAATATGGATACCGAGAATAACAAAATGCGTGCCTGAAAGAAATAGAAGGCTTTTTCTTTTAAAATGTTGGAGGTTTTTGTGGGTGAACCACCTAGATTCATGCGAGAACACATCCAGAGATATATTAAGACATGCTTTTTCAAAGATTACTCAAAGATAAATTATTTGATATGCAATGTTCTGTAAACGTGTCTCTGGTATACGTTCTCATAAAATTAGGTAGGCTATAGATGAGAAAAATACCATTGACTGCGGAGTACAGGGTCCAACCACATTTATCGTTAAATTTCCCATACTGTCTCTTTGTGGCTATACAAAGAGCATGACACATGGAGATGGTATGGTTTTGCAATTTATCTAGCAAATACAAAAGGAACCTGCCTGGTTTTTTTAAGGGATGGTTCTTCGAAGCATCATACCCGAGGAAGATAGGAATGTATTGATGAATCTAAGTTTTACATCAATGATTTGGTTAACTTACATACAAATATATTTGAGCAATTGAACTCTGCTGGATATAATGGCAGGTTGGAGAAACTCTGTTAAAGATATTAGTTGATGACTCTGCATTACCTTTAGTGAGTCTTGGTGATTCAGAAATTGCAAAGTCACCTGATTCTGACAAGACATTAGCTAATGAGCCCGTGTATACTACAGTAGTTGACAATTCAGATAATGCCAACTTAATAGATTCTGATCTTGGAAAAGGAAGACAAACTGGAATTCTATCAACACCTGCAGTAAGAAGTCTGGCAAAGCAACATGGTATAGATATAACTGAAGTCTGTAGCACAGGAAAAGATGGAAGGGTTTTAAAAGAAGATGTGCTGAATTTTGCTGTCCGGAAAGGAATCATTAAAAATCCATCTACACTCTTGCATACTGATTCCGGAGAACAGCCTCAAGGAGCTGAAGGAAACAACTACACTGTCGCAACTATGTCTCAGAGTCAATCTGAGGACAGGACACTTCCCTTTAGGTAAGCTGGACGCAAGCATAATTTAAATCTTTCCTTCTTTTTTTCTTGTGAGATGGTGATGGATATCAATCAGTCAAAGTTATTTGCTGCAAATAATTTATGTGAAATCATGGAAAATTGTGTATCTGTGGACCTTTGAGTTGCAATACTATGAATTTTTTTTCCTTTACTCAGTTCTAGAACTTCACTAGAAATAAGATATCATTAGAAAAGGTTAATGACCATTTCTTTTCTTTTCTTTTTGTAGGGGATTCCAAAGAGTAATGGTAAAGTCAATGTCCCTGGCTGCTAAAGTCCCACATTTTCATTACGTGGATGAGATAAATTGTGATGCTCTAGTGGAGCTTAAAACATCTTTTCAGAAAAATAATCCTTTTCCAGATGTTAAGTACACTTTCCTTCCAATATTAATCAAATCACTATCAATGGCCGTCAGGAAGTACCCCTTTATGAACAGTTGCTTCAAAGAGGATTCAATGGAGGTTGTCCTCAAAGGTTTGTTTCTTGGACATAATCTGATGAATAATTCATCTATTTTTGCTTCCTTTAGTAGCTTGTTTATGTTTAAATTTGTGTAGAGTGAACCTAAGGTTTTTTCTTTAGTTAAAAGTACAAACAAGTTCAAAGAAAAAGCTACAATTATTTAGAAATTGAAAAAAAGTATGGTGAGGTCAAAGGGGTTCCCTTTATTAGCCAATTGTCTCTTTGCTTTTATGGCACCTCCTCCTACATGTTCAAAATAACCTTCCAAGGGTCCACTGGGTATTTTATGCATATAGCTTTCTGGCATATGATGTAAGTGTTTGTGAATTCTTCTCTCTACTACCGTATCTTAGAGTTTGAGGCAATGATCATCTTCATTGTGGGATTCCCAAGAATATGTTTGTATAGTTTTCTTCATAATATTTTCAAGTATTGTTTCATATCACTAGTAAGTACATGTTGTAAAATCTTTTTCTAGTTTGTGTTGACTGATATATGGTGGCTGCCAATTTAATGATTTATTTGAGGCAGTAGCTGCTGTGCCGTGCCAAAGTTGACACAAAGGTTTATTTTCTGAAGGTTCACACAATGTTGGAATTGCTATGGCGACGCAACATGGTCTAGTTGTGCCAAACATAAAAAATGTTCAGTCTCTTTCCATAATGGAGGTTAGTTTACAAACTTAATGGGAAAAGGCTTGGTTATGGTTTTATCTGGTTTTGCTTTGTTCAGCCATTCTTGTTTTGGTTGAAGTGCATGCCCATGATTGCTCTTTAGTTACAGTCCTCGAGGAAAACATGTTCATAATTTGAATTAATTGAATAAAATATAATTGTATTGTTGATCTAAGTAGGCTTGAACCTAATTGTTGGTTCTCTCAAAGCTGCTTCTCCTTAGAAGAAATGAAGAGCCTATTTTCTTCAGTTTCAATAAGAATTTCAGATTAGGAGCTAAGGCCACGTTGGTGCTGTTGTTATTATTGTTGTTGTTTCGTTGGATAAAGATCTGTTTGCATAGCCCACATCATGTGTATATGGTGTTGATTGCATATGAGGATTATAATCATGACATGTCTCAAGTCTCAATAAGACATTCTTGTGCGTGTTCTTGTTAATATATTTTTCCTTGTATATGATTTTTATGTAGATAACCAAAGAGCTGGCAAGGTTACAACAATTGGCTTCAAATAACAAGTTAACTTCTGAGGATATATGTGGTGGCACTATTACTTTAAGCAACATTGGAGCAATTGGTGGAAAGTTTGGTTCCCCACTTATCAATCTACCTGAAGTCTCCATTATTGCCATTGGTAAAATTCAGAAAGTTCCACGGTTCGCTGACAATGGAAATGTGTATCCTGCATCGCTCGTGACTGTAAGTCTTGCATTGGTAAACCATATGAGCAATGAAAAAAAAAAAAACATTTTAGAGAGAACTACAATAATCTCCGATGATTCTTATCTGTGTAACTTATCCACTTTATATATGACTGTTTAGTTTGGCATTTTGCCGAATAGAAATAAAAAATGTGATTATAAAGAATACTCCTAATTTAGCTATTAAAGAGGGCTACGCGGGTAATTAGTTTATGTCTAGTTTTACGGCAAAGTCAGCTATTGTAGTTCGATTGTCTTCATAACTACAGTTAGATAAGGTAAATGTATAGGTTGAATTGGCATTGAACAGAGTAGTTTATAGGTTGATGACAATCACAGGTTTGAACTATGAGTTCACTCTTTTCCAATAAGTTAACGTATATTTTATTAACTAAATGTTATTATTTATAATGATTTTTGAATGAATTAGAAGATGAAATGAACAGCAATTTTATATTTGTTTTTCTGCTTCCAGGTTAATATTGGTGCAGATCACAGAGTATTGGACGGAGCAACCGTTGCCAGATTTTGCAACGAGTGGAAGCAGTTGATTGAAAATCCCGAGCTCCTCACTTTGCATTTGAGATAAAATTTCATCACATGAAAGAATAATTACTGTAATTGTAATTTTTATGGTTAATCGCTTATTGATTGCAGTAAGAAATATACAAACCAGCATTTAAAATTGATGGCAATGAAGATCTAGAAAGTTTATCGTAACTGCTACGATAAACCTCACATTGCCAGTTTGGTTTAAGAGGTAGCAAAGGGCAATTATAGCCATTTAATAAGTCTAACCCGACTTCTTTTGTAAAAAATTTCCTGCTTGTGAGAATAATGCAAAGATAGAAAGACAAGGCGTTTCTGGGTTATTCACAAGCGAATGGTTCATCTATCCAGTATTAAAAGATACGAACAAAAACCTAAGACTCGTGATTTAAAATATTAAATTGTTAATTTCGAATATAAATATAAATAAATATATATATATATATCAATATAAATAATTATGTTTATTTTCTACTCTCTATTTTTATTATTCCCTTTTCACTTTTCTTTCTAACTAAATATGGCAGACATGTTAGTTCATGGTAGTATAGAGATGCAATCACACGTAGAAGGACTCATGTCAGTGTTCAAACTAATAGAGTAATAAATAATAGATAAAGGTTAAACTGTGTTTATAATTTTTAATTCGGTATTTATATCAATATATTGTTTATTAAAAATATTCAATTGGTTTTAAGAATAATTTTAAAAGAGTTAGTTTTTCAGCTTATTTTTTATTTTCTTACAACTTTATAATTTTAAAATAAGTTATCTTAATCTTTATTTAACTTAAAGTTATTCTATAAATCATTTGATACTTTTGTTTTAATTCCATCGTAAAACTTTATTTTTACTTTTAATTTGTTCCTGGGATTAAATTGCACTAAGCAAACTGTTTTCTTTATCAGAGTATCTTTGTCGTTGTAAGAAGAAAAATAAACAGATTATATTTGTTTGTCCTATTTATGTCACATAATTGTTTGTCCTATAAAATTTACACCATCAGAATCTACACTTAGAGCAACCACATTCCATGAAATAGAACAATCATAACACAACAACAAAAAAAACACTAAGTGGCATCAAAAAGGGTATTTCTTTTTCAACTTTTTTATAATTTTTTTTTATCAAATCACCGTTTTAAATTATTTAGTTTGATTTTTTTTTTTTACCTTGAAAAGTCAACTAATTTAACTTTTTTTAGGAATCCTGTTTTAGTATTTATATTTGTACATTAATTAATTTCGTCTTTAAACTTTAAATATGTGACGAATATAGTTTATCCTCTATAAATATTTATTGTAGTTTTTGAAGTTAAAAAATAATTAAATTTCTTAATTTTTGAAAAGTTAAAAAGTAAATTCATGAATATAATAGGTTGAATTAAATTGAGGTTGGGTTTGAAAAAAAGTAGTAATTGAGATCGTGAAAGAAGAGAAGGCAAAAAGGGGAAGCAGAGGGAGTTTGGATAGAGTGAGAAGGGAGGGAAATGGCAGCGATTGCTTGTCAGAAGCTTCTGGAATTGAGCACCAAGATCGTCGCTGTTGGCAGAAACTACGCTGCCCACGCCAAAGAGCTAGGCAACGCCGTTCCCAAGGTACCTTCTCTCTCACATACACAATTTGCCTTTCCCCTTTATCATCATCAGCAGCAGCATCTTCTAACTACAGATTGGAAATGATTTTCAATTCTCAGGAGCCGGTGTTGTTTCTGAAACCGACGTCGTCTTACTTGAAAAATGGCGGAACCATCCAAATTCCACATAACGAGGGCTCTCTGCACCATGAGGTCGAGCTCGCCGTGGTCATCGCCAAGAAAGCGCGTGACGTGTCGGAATCCTCTGCCATGGATTACGTCGCCGGTATTCACTCATCTTGCCTTACCCTTACGTACACCTTATTGCTATTTTACTTTACATCTCTCTAAGTATCCTAGTCCTGTTCTTTTTATTCCAAGAAAATTAGAGCAAATAATTTACTGTGTATCAAAGGATTGTTTTAGAAGAAAAAATAATTTTGTTTTTTCATAAGCTAAAATTAGTATATGTATAAGTCGATTTGTGGACATTTTCTCATTTTAGCTTTCTAGAAAATGTTTTTAGCTTAAGCTTATGCTAATTTGAGTTTGTAAAAGTTTATTTTGGTTTCTCTTTTTATATTTTTCTCTTAATAAATACTTGTATAGGGAGTTGATTGGCTTTTACTAATATTACTTTATAAGTCATCCTTTATTTAATTGGTTGATAATGTAAAAAATGGTATGTAGGAATTAATCTCTTGCTATAATAGCAAAGATAGTTGCTACAATTGGTAAGGATAAGTTAGATCTTATTTGAAAAAACAGAAGTTGGAACCCCATTGCCGATGTGAGGACATTTTTAGAGTGTAATCTATTAGTACTTTTATAAGCAAGCACTCATGAATCATTTGGCATACCCTGGCTTAGGTAGTCCACAGAGCCCAACTCACCTAAAATTTCATTAAGTAAAAAAAACAAAAACCTATTATTACAATGGATAAATAAAGATGAATACATTTTTGTATGTCAGGTTATGCACTTGCTCTGGATATGACTGCTAGGGACCTTCAAGCTGCTGCAAAGGTATTTTGATAGTTAACTACAGTCAAGTTTTTTAACAATTATTTTTGCCATGTTCTGGAAAATAAAGGAAGACCCTGTACAAAATTGGAGTTAAAATGTTGGGATGTTGACAAATATGAAATGATTTGTGCGGGAATTCCTTTTTGCTTTTGGCATGTGTCATATATTTCTGCTCAAATAGTTTTGGATGTATGATTTAGACATGGTATCTTCATAATCTGATAAGCGATGTTTTCTTTACCTTGTTTGTTCTTAGTCTGCAGGTCTTCCATGGAGTTTGGCAAAAGGCCAGGACACTTTCACCCCAATTAGTTCAATTGTAAGAAATTGCATGCTTTAATTCTTATTTATACTGAAACTATTTTATAATGCTGTTGTTAGAGAAATAAGTCACTAGGTCCTCGATAGTTTTAAGGAGTCGAGAACTACTGAGAAATGATAATACAAATTTCAGCCATTCATAGCCTTTTCAAGAAGACTTAATCTGCATTCACCAGTATTACCGTGGCCTAGATCTGCGAGTAGCAATATATTGCTTCTAAATTGGTTATGTGGGCTTTTGCTATAAAAAAAAAAGGACTTGTACTAGCGTCCTATGCATAAGTAGTACTTTAGTCTGTAGATCTTCAATCAGTTATACCCTTTCTTCTAATTAGGTGAAATTTAAAATTCTACAAGTAATCAATGAGAAGTGTTCACCTGTGAACATTATTTTGTTCATCTACTTAGATAATGAGCCATATCTTAAACTGTATTTTTTGCTATGCAGTTGCCAAAGAGTGCCGTGCCAAACCCTGACGATATAGAATTATGGTTAAAGGTTTGAGATATTTTATACTTCTCTCATTATCACTTCGTTGGTTCTAATATAATTGATTGTGTATTGCTTCAGTGACGCGTTGGAAGCCCAAACTAATTGAAGAAAAATGGACTTGCTTTGATGTAGGTAGATGAGGAAATTCGGCAGAAGGGCTCAACCAAGGACATGATCTTTAAGATCCCATTTCTAATTAGCTATATAAGCTCAGTCATGACATTGTTTGAAGGAGATGTTATACTAACTGGTATGGCATTAATTCTTCATCTGCATATTTATATTTTTGTGTTAGTAATGTTAACATACTTGCTGTCATTCAAACTATCATTTGGGCCAATGAGAATTGGTTCAACTGATAGGATTCAGCATTGTTGATTAAAAGATCTTTAGTTCATCTATAAGCCTCTCTTGAAACTTATGGCATGATTTATTCTTGAAACGGGGCTGCCTCCCTTCTCCAAAAGTATTTGGTTATAAACAAAATCATGACAATGAAAAGTTTGTCACTTGTGTTGGTGATAACCGAGGATTGATTTATTTGTCTCTTTGTCATGCTTATGGATAGAACTCAAAGTCAGTCAAGCCAGCTTGTGTGCTTTTGAGAAAATAAACATACATGATGAGTTGGAAATGCATATCAGAAATTAAAGTTGCTGAAGAATATTGTGGTGAATGAGGTAAACAGTCTCGTGCATTACTTCGGAGAGAAATACAGTAGGTATATAAAAGGAAAACAGATTGCAAAAAGACAAGATACACACTAATATATAGAAAAAGAACTGTGCTAATTCTGTTATCACATAGTATTGGTGAGAAAGTTTGTTATTACGGCCTGGCAGTCCAAGTTATTTTACTTAAGAATCCTCCATAGTTAGATCACTTTTATTGAAGCCCGTAGGATCAAAGGATCTTAACATGCGCGACCCTAGTCACATCTTGGACATTGCTAATTCAACAAGTTGAAAATGTTGGATTGTTTATACAAGACTTGAGCTTCAACCTACATATTCGGCTCATTGGTCATGAGTAGGCTTGATATATGCACACATTTTTTCAAAGAGTAATAATGATGTCTTAATTTAATATGTATTAACATTTAGTTGTTAAACAATTATTTAAAATTATTAAAATTTCATACGATACACACATATACATATATAGTATGAAAAATATAGATTTTGTTAATTTCAAAGTTTGAGCGTATTGAAACTGAAAAATATTTTGTTATTGAGTAACTTGTGAGTTCGAGGTAAGTTAAACATTTGCTAAGAAACTGTTCTATTTCTATTTCTTATTGGAGTCAAACTTAGAGCTAGGCTTAGAGATCGACTCATTTGCAGTTTCTTTATAGATTAAATACAATGCATGCATTGCAGGGTTAGATGAATTAAATGGGGAAATCTGAGACCCTTGATCAGCTAACAAACATTTTGATGATGTGCAGGCACTCCCCCGGGCGTTGGACCTGTGAAAGAGGGGCAAACAATTACTGCTGGTATTACAGGCCTTGTGGACGTACAGTTCAATATTGAGAAAAGAGCAAGGCCTATACATTCTTGATTAACCCTCGAGGCTACTTCAGTTCTACAGCAGATCTCTTGCCAAAGTGAAACGGGGGGAACTAAATAAAAGTTCTGGTTTATGGACTTAACAGTCTAAAAACACTTGACACTTTTTTTTTTCGATTTATTTACAGTCTTCGAACTGTTTTAGACTTTTGTCACTAGAATGGTGAAGTTGATAGGGGCGTGCTGTTTATACCGTGGATAATAATGACGACAGCCCATAAATTCGAAAAATGGTCTTCAATTGTGATGAAATCATATCATGGCTATAACTATAGTAGTACTATGTAAGTAACAATTTAAGCAAAAAAATACCCATGGAAAAACTTCATCATGATAAGAAAAAGAAACAAGTGAGCATGGAGAATCAATTTTTTAATTTTGATGTGAAGCAAGCTGAAACAAATTGTTGGTGCACGGCTAAATATCTTCCCATACGTTTTACCATGAGAATGTGTAACCGTCTTCAATTTCCTTCCTGTCTATAGTAGAAAAGAATTTTGGGGAATTCTGTATACAGTTTTGCCAATTTTTTTGTTTTTCTTGAGTACTAATATTTTTAAAATGCAGTTGAGCAACGATTGTAACATTTACATATATCTCTTTAAACACAAGCATACCACATGAGAATACAAACCCAGCAAGAGTTATCAATGGAAGCACGCATATCCACTTCGAGAATACAGATCCAGCAAGAACTGAAGGGAAAAGATGCAATGCCAAGAAGAAAGGGATACATATCCAACATGATAATAGCAAATCAGAATTTGTTAAAGAAATCGTAGATGTGTTTGTTGATCTCATCAGGCCTTTCTTGATGAAGGAAGTGACCAGCCCCTTGAATTACGACTACATCCTCCAGAAATGGAACATCTCTCTTTAACCCACCTTGGTGAATGTAATCCTTGGCACCCGGTGCATTGTAGGTCAGGTCAAGATCACCCACAATAAACTTAACAGGAACGTTGACTTTAGCACCAGTCCACGGTGCTGTGAGCTCCCAATTTCTACAAATGCAAGGGGAAGCAATAAAACTATATTAGTGTTGATTATATAAAGATAAACATGAACACTTGGAGTAGATTATGATGAATTTCTTTGTTTTGAATTTCACAATACTGATATCATTCATGCCAAATTTATTTGTTTCAGAACACAGCCCTCTACATATTAAATATCATATATAATATAGCGTCATAAGGAGCAAAAATTGGATGAATGATAAGATCATATCCAAAACTAAATATATGTTTCAGTAGGTTTACAGATCTATAAAAGTTCAGAAGTTTAAATTTTGTGAATAAAAAATAATAATAAACATTTAACTCTTTTTCTGTCACAAGTTTGTTTCCTTCAATTCAGTCTACTAGAATAAATATTCTTAATCTAGTCTTTATACATGTAGCATGTTCTTACTTTAATCCTTATTTGATAACTTACATCTATGGGATATATAAAGACAAAATTAAAATTGTTTCATGTAAAAAAAAAATCGAATTAGCAATGGCATACCAGTAACATATATGATCTAACAAGTTTTAATGTATAAAAGTCAAATTGAAATTTCCTCATATAGTTGGCAAAGGGAGATTCATTAGGAAAAATCTATTTTGACATGGCATCTCAAAACATCCCATATGCAACTGATTATAATATTATAATAATAACTTTAAATTATTTTTATTTTTATTAAATCTATTCTCATTATTATATTAATAAAAACGAGTTATAAGGAATGTTTGTTTTGGAGGATGTCAACGTATCACCACTGGTTCCATTAACTGTGTAAAGCAAATTATATGTTGAAATAAAAAAACACGGGTAGATAGAGACTAAGTAATATGTTAAAAAAAAAAAAAAACTAAGCCCATAAATAAATAAAATATGTGTGGATTGTGTGAAATATGAACGGTCAACTGACACTGAAAAACAACAGTGTGGATTTCCTTGTCAAACAGGGGTAGTTCATAATTCTTCACTAGGGATTTAGTGTTAACTCTTCAACAGATCATGTAAGTTGAATTATATGATGATTCACTACCATGTTTCTAACTCTGTATTTGTTTTTACCTTCGTCTACAAGAAAACCTAACACTGTTCCTACTTATACATTATTTTCAATAAATATATATTGATAATTAATACAGGCTAGGTGTGAAAAATAAAAAAAATTTAACCATATCTAACATTTCATAGGTAGGAGGTGAAGAAAGACATACAGATCCAAATTTCTGTAGTAGTTCAATCCCCCTGTGAAACCAGTCTTCTCATATTTACTGGCATAGTAGTCACATTCTTCTTCAGATAGCCATGAGGGCAACTTCATGGGAGAATCAATTGCATGTCCAAACCCTTTACCCTTTGGTAGATAAAGTGGAGCAGGGTTGCGGTATGTCAGGAACTCCTTCAGGACTCTTGCAGTGCCAATCTGCTCAAACTCAGCTTCTATATTTCCGGTCTCCTGCAATAATGCACTTGAGCAACACAACCACTTTGCAAACCATGGTTTACCAAGCATCATTTTTTCACTTTTGCTTAAACCATGTTTTGAGACCTAGCAAGTTATATTCAAACACAACTCAATATAACCATATTATTTACCCAAACATCCGTATTTGTCCATGAAAGAAAATTTCCACATCTTCAACCAAAGCACCAAATAAAATAACTAACCTAGATGAGTATCATAATATTGAATATATGTTACTTGTGGTTGCATATTGATGGGTACTTTCCAGAATTAAAGAACAGAAAGATTACTTGTATAAGATTCGAATTAATCATATTTTATTATAATAAAATATAATATTACCTTTAACCTAAAATTTTAAAACATTAGATTATGAGTGCTTTTCAATTATGCGTATATAATTTAATACAACGAGACACAAGATCTTTTTTTTATTTTAAATTAGACTTAACCCATTCGGTCATCAGGTCAACAAAACTTTAAAATAAGAATTATATTTAGATATTTAAAGCATATAATGATAATTTTTCAATAAAAATTCTTTCAGATACAATAAAAATTAAGATATGAATTAATTCAAACTATACAAATAATTTACACTACTTTAAATCTACTTAATGCATTAAATTATGAATTTTTTTCATCGTTATTATCCAAGCGGACTTAAATTCATACTTAAATTTCCCAACCATCTTTCCTTAAAATGTGAGTCTTGAACCATCTCATACGGAACATACTTCTTGTTTGAGTCCATCGATCGTGACCAAAACTTTCGATCTTTCGATATAATTATCAGTGTTCCACCCATAACTAAAACCTCGGGTCTTTCTCACTTAACTTCACCCATACCGAACTTATTACTTTAAACTCATACATTCTCATATAACATGGATGGATGCATGATTCAAACACATTTAGAATCAAACCAAACTCAGATAACAAGAGCACAGGAAAAAACAAACCTGAAACCTGCAAATATAGTAGTCATCTCCGTACACTGCTCTTAAGGTGTCTAGGGGCTTTCTCTTCGGGTTTCGGGGAGTGAAAGGAACACTGATGTTAACAAGAGCCCTAATTCGTTCAGGGCGATAGAGAGAAAGAGACCAAGCAGTCATGGCACCCCAGTCATGACCCACCACAAACACTTTCTCTTGGTCGCCGGCAATCTCGTCGAGAAGTCCAACAAGATCGCCGACGACGTGGAGACTTGTGTAGGCGGTGGGAGAGGCCGGCACATCCGTGTCACCGTATCCGCGGAGGTCCGGCGCCACGCAGCGGTAACCTAGAGAAGCAAGAGCTTTGATCTGGTGGCGCCATGAGAACCAAAGGTCAGGGAAGCCATGGATGAAGAGGATCAATGGGCCTTCACCCATCTCTGCTATGTGCATGTTTATGCCATTAACATTCACTGTTCGATGCTGTAAACCCTCCATGTAACTCCCTTCTCTACAGTCAATGGAGCGTGTAATGTGTGTATGGCAATGGCAGGGATTATGAACGATTTTGCTTTGTTTTTGTTTGGTTGGTGTGCGTTGGAAAGATAAAAATTGGAGAATAAAGGGAGAACGTGGAACTGTGCTTGCTTTTATTCTTTCTTGGCTTCCTTGGATCAATGAACTTGCTACTGTTCCTTCCCTGTTACTCCTGATTTGTGGTCGTGAGTCATTCATGTTTTAAATACGTGAATCACGTTTTGGAAGTAAGGTCCACTCACTAGTGCAAAAAGGGGCTTTTACGTCAAGTATTTAGGGCTTTTTACGTCGTATTTAAGTCTGACGTTAAAGCGGGAGATGTAAATTTACGTCGGACCCTTTTGCCCGACGTAGATTTACGTCAGTTATCAAGATCCGATGTAGATTTATAATAAACAGACGTAAAAACCTTTTCAATTTAAAAAAAAAAACAGAAAATTTACGTCGTATATGGTATACGCGACGTAAATTTACGTCGCGTATACCATATGCGACGTAAATTTACGTCGCATATACCAATATGCGATGTAAATTTACTGTTTTTTTTTTTTAAATTGGGTTTATTTATTCTGTTTTACAACTAAAACCTGCAAATAGTAATCCAGACAGTCCAGAGGTTCAGTTTTCTTTAGCTAGTAAATTAAAAATATAATATTATATAATTCAAACTACATAATAAAACAATATAATACAAACATACAAACTAAAAAATCTATTACAAACTAAGCTACCTATACAAACTAAGCTACCTATACAAACTAAGCTACCTATACAAACTAAACTAAACTACATAATACACACAATATAATATGAACAAGAACTTAAAAAATAATGTACTAGAATTGTTGAACAAAAAATTTTGCCCATTGTTCTCTAATTTCTGTAATCTCGATTCTCGTAATGGAGATGGATCTTGAAATACCTGAAACATGAATTTGACTCTTGTAAGCATGCAACATGAATAAAGTTAAATAAACTTAACTAATGTTAAAAGTAATTACCTCAGATCCAAGAATCAATTAAACCCGCACAAACTATGACTCTCATCCAATACATTACATAATAACCACATTCAAACGAGTCAGTTTGCTTATTACACTGAAATGATGAAAAAAACATAATATTATTTTCAAAATTGAAATACAAACAATAATTATGGTATTCACTTATATAAATAAGTTTCTAACCTTAGGATAAATGAACTGCAAAGTCTTTGTTCTAGGTTTTCCACTTAGAACATTAGTTCCGAACACGATTCTAAGTGAAAAAAGTCATATATTATTCAATATGTATTCACAATTTAAAAACATAATTAATGAATAAAAGATAAAGTTACCCTTGTAATAAGCTTTTCATTTCTTGACTCGGTTTCCGATGTAATGAACAAAACCACACCACGAGTGTAATCCCGGGGCACGATTATAATTAACTGCCAATGAGACCTACATTGTATGACATAAAAATTAGTTACAAAAATATAAATTAAAATACAAATTAAAATACTAACCCTTCAATGTATGGAGCCAAATATATATGTCTTCTTGAGTCACTCATCCATGTTTGCATATATTGTTGGATTCCAACCTTTGTATTTCCAGATTTTTGGATGGATTGAGGCTCAATAAATCCGTACACTTCGGATTTTTCTTGTTCCACACTCAAATTGTCAAGGTACCTAAAACAATTAATTATAAGTTGAATATAATTATTATAATCTTAGAAACATAAATGAAAATGACTTACATTGCCCACAATTGTATGATGGAAATGTTTAACATGCAATTTCCCCAGCAATTTCTAAAGCATCGGGAAAGGAAATGTACAATGGAACACCTGGAATTGTCAATTCCAAACACTCTAACATCCCATTGTATCTGACAGGGTCTCTTCCTCAACCGTGGTAATACTGCTAACAACATAGAGATGGGATCATCATCACATTCTGTCAGATCCTCATCAATAATAGGTTGTTTTTTATGCTTTCCACGACGCAAGTCCTCCTAAACAAATGATAACAATTAATTAAACATTTATATAATTATAATACTAGAAAAGAGTAAATAAACAATATGTATATATATATATATATATATATATATATATATATATATATATACCTTGGTTACTATGCTGATAGTGGCATAACCAAACGTCTTGGCCAAGCCTAGAATGTCCCGCTTGCCCTGCCCACTAATTGAATCTCTTCATTAGGAAAAGGCACTGGAGCATTAGCATCATGAACTTCATCAACTACTACTCGTGTCCAGTCTGGCTGTAGAGGGACACCATGGATGGTTAAGCCACCCTCAAAAACTCGACCAACGGCCACTAGACGCGGGGGTCATCTTCAACATATAACTCACACTGGTGTGATGCATCGATCTCGAGTATATTCTCCTGAAGGATCAACAGTGAGTAGCAGCCACAACTCCCTTTAGTGCTGACTCGAACAATATCATGTTCAATTGTTTGAGGTGTTCCTTGAGTCTCATTCGCTGAGAGCGGGCGAGAGATTCAATTTTCTCATCAAACTCTTGCCTGCAAGGACTGCCTTATTTGATTTAACTTTTCTTCAAACTGCATCTCCATTTTATGCAAGGCCTCCTGGCTGCAAGAGTCGGCAGTGGTCCTTCGTGATGTTGGACCAAAGTAATCACGAAGGCCCCAGGTTCCACCAGCACCACGCACACGTCCTGAGTAATCTGGTTTTCCTATGGCTGTCGCCAATATATCTTGTCGACCATGAGGAATAAATGATCCTTGGCTGGTCTGCTCAACTAAATCATCCTACAACACATTAACAATAATTAAGTCATACACTAACTTTCAAATTAGAATCAATTCAAATTGACATTATAACTTACGATTTTCTGAGCAATGATTCGTGCAGACTCAGAAGTCATTTGTCCATCAGATTTTGTCCGGCTGCCTTCCACATCTCGATAGCGAGGGTGGAGATGCAAGGTCGGTAGAATCAACTCCTGCCGACTCTTCTCTCGGATTTCATGAGACGTTGCTCCAATAATGCATACCCTCCTCGTGACAATACATGGGGTGCATCATTCAACCTCTGACGTTGTTGGGCGACTTGTCTTTTATCCTGCCAAAGGGGTCCATTCGAGCTGGCACAAAGCCGTAACCAATCCTCCTCACTAATTTGATACTTTACACAGGGAGATTCATCTCGAAACTTTCCAAATACATACTCCCGTGTCAAGAAAGTCTTAAAGTCCCTCCATCTAATGGCAATGGAGGATAAAATCTTCTTCCTCATCACCTCAGTGTTAGGAACATCAAAATTTTGCTGTGAAATGACCAATAAATGTTAAATTCAATTAATAATGATATATAAAGTATTCAACAAATATAGAAATACCTGAACATCCTGCCACATGAGGTTCTTCTCGGTTTCCTCAACATCATCCCAAGATGGAGTAGTAATCGGAACATGGTGTCGAGCTAGTAGTCCCAAATAGCTCTTAAACTTAGCAAGCATTTGGGCCGGATGCCTTACCGAACGTGGATCAACTTCAACTTGAGTTTTCTCTCTAGCTACCCTCCTTGCTTGTCAACCCCTTTAACCAGAGTGACAGATCTACCTTTATCACCACTTCCGCTCCCGCCACCGCCACTACCACTACCAAGTACCAGCTGTGGAATCCGACATATCCTGAAAAACAAAACAATATTACGTCAACATACTTTATAAGTTTGAATAAAAAGAACTAGAAAATGTTAAGATAAACACCTATTATGTTGGTATGTTTTCCCATATCCCTTCATCATGATCACTTCGAATTGCATGTATGTCATCAACTTCATTGTCAACTATGTCATCAAATGGTCTACTTGAAAATGAAGGTGTTTCATGTATATCTAGAGACTCATCTTCATGAATTCCATGCATGTTTCTTCCTTCTAGGACAATTGACCATCTCTCATTACATGGATCCTTGACATAAAATATTTGTCTCGCTTGATATGCCAAAATAAAAGGTTCATCCTTATACCCAACTTTACTCAAATCAACCAAAGTAAATCCTAGGTCATCTGTTCGCACACCCGTATTCCCTTCAACCCATTTACACTTGAAGACAGACACCCTAAAAGTAACATAATCAATTTCCCATATCTCTTGTATGACCCCAAAATAACTCATAGAAGCTGTGATAGGATTTTTGTCTTTAGAACTAGAAAAATGCATAGATTCGAGCTTGAATTGTGACCCCACTATTTTGTACTCTACCTTTATCATCTTCTATTTTTGAGTAGAAACAATAGTTATTAATGTCATACCCACCAAATGTAATGACATCACTATTAGGCCCACGAGCAAGTCTCAGAAGTGTTTCGAAGCATTAATCTCAACATATACCCTTTTTTAAACCAAGAAAGGAAACTTTTGTTATGTTCATTCAATACCCATTTTTCATTCATTCGTGGATGTGTTGCCTTTATTTCAGTTATGTGTTGTGATATGTAAGGGATTACTTCATCGAGTGTTGTTCAATATGTATAAATGTGCTTGGTCAACTTCTTTCCGACTAACATTTTTAATCTTCAAATTTCGAGTACCCTTACCTTCACATCTTCCATCATGTCTCATCTTAGGAATACCTATTGGTTCTGATTTTGACATGTATCCTTGACAAAACTCAATGGCTTCTTCTCGCAATGTACCTTTCCACAATAGAAGCTTCTGGCTCGTACTCGATTCTTCACATATCCTTTTAAGATCTTCATGTATCTCTCAACAGGATACATCCATCTAAGAAAAATTGGACCACATAACCGAATTTCCCTTACCAAATGGACTATCAAATGCACCATGATATCAAAAAATGAAGGGGGAAAATACATTTCTAACTGGCACACTATCACAATTGCTTCATTTTCTAATTCATCTAACTTTTTTGGATCAATTACCTTTTTACAAATGGCGTTGAAAAACAAACATAACC